GACAAGTGTTGGAGGGTTCATTTGCTATGTTGGTGGAGGCCCAACTGCTTGGGAAAGCAAGAAGCAGGTGAACCAAGCATTGAGCTCGGTGGAGTCCGAGTACATGGCACTCTTCCGTGCCGTACGGGAGATTGTGTGGCAGCGGCGTTTGTTGGCTGAATTGGGGGAGGAGCAGCAAGGACCTACCCTACTCTACTGTGACAGCCAAGGTGCTATTGCACTTGCTAAGAACCCTGTGTTGCACGGCCTCACCAAGCACATGAGGGTAAAGTGGCATTGGACGAGGAGCATGGTAGCTGCGGGTGGGGTTGAGTTGCGCTATGTGAAGACGACGGGGCAGCCGGCTGACATGATGACCAAGAGGCTGGTGGAGCAGCAGCATTGGAAGTGTTGCAAGCTGGCTGGGATGGCTCTGAACTGAGAGAGCAAGATCCTAAGGCCAACAATCCGAGGGGGAGTTTGTTGGTGCAACCCTACGGTTTGCACTCGGCTTGTTGTCCGTGTGCGTGCATGTGTGTGTGCATGGAATGGTATGAGGGCATGGGATAATATATATTTCATGCTTATAATAGTGTGTGAATGATGAGTCACGGTGTCGAGTGTGTGTATGTCGAGTCAATAGCGAGTTATCGCTAGTCGCGTGTTACGCGGTCATTTTGTGTGTCCCGCGCGGTTTCTATTTCGTCGTTTGTGTGTCTCGCGCGGTTTCTATTTTGTCCTGTGTCGAACGTCCGGCGTGTCGCAGGTGTGTGCAGCAGACCCATCAAGAACTCAAGGATGAGTTTGTGATGAAGAACCCGAGCCTTGGTGTCAAGACTCAAGTGATCTCGAAGCCCGCAAAAGGGTACACCTCAAGATAATGCAAATAGTTACATTACTTTGTGTAGTGTAACATTTCAGTTGGTGTAGGCCCTTGTGGTGGGTAGTTTCGAGACCCTTCTTGGTTGGGGAGAGTGTGGCACTGTTCCACATCACTGTACCTCGGCTCTTGGGGTTTGTAGGAGCTGGGAGTCATTCCCAACTCGTAACTCTTCCTATCTTGAGTTCTAAGACTATAGTGGCTACCATAGTGCCGTTCGTTCAAACCGACACTGTGTCGTCAATACTTGGTGAAATCGTGCGATCTAAATTGCCTATTGTAGGCGACGTTAAGACGCTCCAGATCCAATTTGAATCAGGTCATTTAAAGCTGTGACCAGAACGCTATGAACGTTTAAAGTTGCTGTGCAGAAATCCGACTGTGCACTCTATCTTTCGTTTTAGGCACATTGAAGCCTACTGTGACTATAACAGCGGCGAGCTGCGCGCGGCCAGGGCTGGGCGGTGCAGCGGCGAGCGGCGCGCGGGCAAGGCAGGGCGGCGCGGCGGCGAGCGGCGCGCGGGCAAGGCAGGGCGGCGCGGCAGCGAGCGGCGCGCGGGCAGGGCAGTGCGGCGCGGCGGCGAGCGGCGCGCGGGCAAAGCACGGTGGCGCGGCGGCGAGCAGCGCGTGGGTAGAGCAGGGCGGCGCGGCGACGAGCGGCGCGCGGCAGGGCAGGGCGGCGCGGCGGCGAGCGGCGCGCGGGCAGGGCAAGGTGGCGCGGCGCGGCGACGAGCGGCGCGCGGGCAGGGCAGGGCGGCGCGGCGCGGCGACGAGCGGCGCGCGGGCAGGGCAGGGCGGCGCGGCGCGGCGACGAGCGGCGCGCGGGCAGGGTAGGGCGGCGTAGCGCGGCGACGAGCGGCGCGCGGGCAGGGCAGGGCGGCGCGGCGCGGCGACGAGCGGCGCGCGGGTAGGGCAGGGCAGGGCAGCGCGGCACTAGCAGGGCGGCGCGACCGGTGGGGTAGCGCGACACGGGCAGCGAGCTATACGGTGGGCCCTAAAAAAAGCGGTCCTATGAGAGGACCTGCTCTAAAACCATGTCAGAATAATGAACGAGAATGATGAAACTAACAGCATGCAGGAGTACAAGTACCAAACCCTAATTGGGTTGTACCCCATATGGGCTACCCCACTATAGCCTACACAACATGATAGTTTGACAGATATAAATTTCATTACATTTTGCATTCATATCCATGCATTTCAAGCACTAAACAAGTTTACCTGCCGCATGGCGGTGTCCCGGCCAGTAGGATCGTCCACCGGCACCACATCCGGAATCCGACTGGACCACGTTGTACGATAGCCCTGTGCTTCAAACCACATCCTTAATGCACCTTGTTGAAGGTCCATGCAAGAATTGAGCCCAATCCAATACCATACCACAACGGTTTCACCGTCGGTTGCAAACCAAACACTTGATCGCTGCAACGTCGCCCTGTCGTGACATGGTTGTCGATAACACATCACCAATTGTGCGATTTCTCTGTGCTTCATACCACTCCCTTTATGCACCATGTTTAAGGTCCATGCAAGAATTGAGTCCAATCCAATACCATACCACAACGGTTTCACCGTCGGTTGCAAACCAAACACTTGATCGCTGCAACGTCGCCGTGTCAAGACATGGTTGTCGATAACACATCACCGCTTGTGCGATTGCCCTGTGCTTCATACCACTCCCTTTATGCACCATGTTGAAGTTCCATGCAAGAATTGAGCCCAATCCAATACCATACCACAACGGTTTCACCGTCGGTTGCAAACCAAACACATGATCGCTGCAACGTCGCCGTGTCGAGACATGGTTGTCGATAACACATCACCGCTTGTGCGATTGCCCTGTGCTTCATACCACTCCCTTTATGCACCATGTTGAAGGTCCATGCAAGAATTGAGCCCAATCCAATACCATACCACAACGGTTTCACCGTCGGTTGCAAACCAGACACTTGATCGCTGCAACGTCGCCGTTTTGAGACATGGTTGTCGATAACACATCACCGCTTGTGCCATTGCCCTGTGCTTCATACCACTCCCTTTATGCACCATGTTGAAGGTCCACGCAAGAATTGAGCCCAATCCAATACCATACCACAGCGGTTTCACCATGTCTTGCAAGCCATGGGCCTGAACGCTGCAACGTCGCCCTGTCGAGACATGGTTGTCGATAACATATCACCGCTTGTGCCATTGCCCTGTGCTTCATACCACTCCCTTTATGCACCATGTTGAAGGTCCATGCAAGAATTGAGCCCAATCCAAAACCATAGCACAACGGTTTCACCATGTCTTGCAAGCCATGGGCCTGAACGCTGCAACGTCGCCCTGTCGAGACATGGTTGTCGAAAACATATCACCGCTTGTGTGATTGCCCTGTGCTTCATACCACTCCCTTTATGCAGCTTTTTGAAGGTACATGCAAGAATTGAGCCCAATCGATTACCATACCACAACGGATTCACCATGTCTTGCAAGCCATGGGCCTGAACGCTGCAACGTCGCCCTGTCGAGACATGGTTGTCGATAAAATATCACCGCTTGTGCCATTGCCCTGTGCTTCATACCACTCCCTTTATGCACCATATTGAAGGTCCACGCAAGAATTGAGCCCAATCCAATACCATACCACAACGGTTTCACCATGTCTTGCAAGCCATGGGCCTGAACGCTGAAACGTCGCCCTGTCGATACATGGTTGTCGATAACATATCACCGCTTGTGCGATTGCCCTGTGCTTCATACCACTCCCTTTATGCAGCTTGTTGAAAGTTCCCTCAAGATTAGGGCCCAATCCAATACCATACAACAACTGTTTCCCATTAGGCACCAGTTATCGTCGTGTTTAGACATCGTCCAACGTCGTTTAACCGTTGTGGCATTCAACGTGTGCTTAGTACAATTGTCAGAAGTAATAGTTCTGGACGCTCAAAGTGTGTGTGACATGAGCCCAATCCACTAACTTACCACAACCCCATACTATTACATGAGCAACGTATTTATTGAGGATTGTATTTGTTGTAGTTTTGAAGCATATTTTGCTTGTATGTGCAACGTTGTTCGTTTCGCATCAGCACTGTACTTTACAGGGTTTAGGTTACATTCGCGGTAGTGGTCCATAAACCGTTCCAGCGTGTGCAGTGATTGATGCGTTGGCAACACTAATTGGCCGACGCATCTCAAACGACTCCTTTTGCGACAAAAGCACTAGCCAAGCGATACATCCGCCATTGAAATGGCTGTGATCGAGCGGTGAGTGGGTTTAGGATCGGGTGGCAAAAGGTACACCGTCCGATCTAGCCTGATCTGATTAGGGTCATCTCTCTAGTCTCGCAAGCCACCCCAACCACCCTCGTGCCCCACCCACCAGCTTCCGTCACCTTCTGGCCCACAACTTTGACGCTGCTCGCTGGTTGACACAGGCATTTCCAGGTCGCCGGTGACTCACCAGTCGACTAAGTAGTGGGCCTTGAAGCAGAGCTTTTCGGCGCGAGATGATTGATTAGACCGTCGAGTCTGCCTTAATTACATTCCTTTGCAGTACGCTTAGTAAACCCGCTCAACCGTTCCGCACGTTAAAAATAGCATTCGTACTACAACCATGACACGTGCTACTCGGCAAAAACGAAATGGAGGATAAACAGGCCGGCCGACGCGCGACAAGGAGCCAGTCTCTTCAGACCAATCGGGAGGGTGGTGGCGGATCTGAAGCTACTAAAGTGTCCGCCGCGCGTGTCAGTCAACAGGAAAAAGTGACGGGGAAAAAGGCTGCACTTGGATAGGAGAAGTCCGGGAAGAAGGCGGAAGACAAGGGGAAGCGACCAACGCCACGCAAGAGGGTTTCTACCGTGAAAAAAGCTGCGGATGTTGCCTCTGGTGGAAGCGAGCCCGGGCCGACTGACGACGGCACCATCGGCGCCAAGGAAGATCCTGGGCGAGGGAGCGTGAGACTTGCATTCCCGTCGGTGGAGAGAGAGGGCTCGGCGACAGGGGGAAACTACGGCGACGCTCCCCGCGACGAGCATGCCGCAACCGGGAGTCCGAGGCGGAAGCATCGCAGCACCATCTGACGCTGCTCCAGCCGACCGTGGTCGACGTTTTTGCTGCCGTGGTAGAGAAGGACAACGCTGGGGAGCACGATTCTATGGAGGAGCAACACAGCATTGCCGACGTCGGTGGCTCTCCTCCTTCAGATGGACGTGGGAGGCGTAGGCAGAAGAAGAGCGATGGGGAGGAAGAGGATGACACCGCCCTGGCCGGGGACATCACTACGCGGGCGAAGAGGCGGCAGACGACAGGCAGTGCTGACGACGTCGGTGGCGCGGAAGTTGGGACAACGCGAGGCGCCAGGGAAGCAAGTGGCAAGGCGACGGGTCATGCATTGCGCCAGAAGGGCCGACCCGGAGCGCGGAAAAAATCCGGTGGAAGGAGGGGCAAGCAAGCAGCGAGGGGGAAGAGGCCGAAAAGCCGCGAAGAAGACCCTGAGGATGCGGAGGAGGAGGATGAGGGGGATGAGGGGGACGAGGAGGAGGAGGCTGATGAGGAGGAGGATGCAGAGGAAGAGGAGGATGAGTAGGATGCGGAGGAGGAGGACGCGGAGGTGGGGGAGGAGGAAAAAGATGAGGATGATGAGGAGGACGAAGAGGAGGAGGACGAGGACGAGGACGAGGAGGGGGACGACGAGGATGAGGAGGAGGAAGAGGAGGAGGAGGAGGAGGAGGAGGAGGAGGAGGAGGAGGAGGAGGAGGAGGAGGAGGAGGACGAGGAGGACGAGGAGGACGAGGAGGACGAGGAGGGGGACAACGAGGATGAAGAGGAGGAGGAGGAGGAGGATGGCGAGGGGGGGGAGGAGGAGGAGGAGGAGGAGGAGGAGGAGGAGGAGTAGGAGGAGGAGGAGGAGGAGGAGGAGGAGGAGGAGGAGGAGGAGGAGGAGGAGGAGGAGGAGGAGGATGCGGAGGAGGAGGATGCGGAGGAGGAGGAGGAAGGGGCGGAAGAGGAAGAGGAGGAGGATGTGGCAGCAGTGAAGGGCCGGGGAGCGCGAGGCAGACGGGGGAGTGGTACACGGAAGGTGGGGGGCCGGACTCGTCACCCCGAAAACGTGGGGCAGTTGACACAATGCGTGGCGAAGCAGCGGGCAAATCGAAGGCGCGTAAAGTGAAGGTCGAAACTGAAGGGGGTGGTAAAAAGCAGGGGAGCCAAGGCGCAAAAGGGGATGGAGAAGGAAAGGGAATCCGCGCCAAAGGGTTTCCAGTGGGTTCGGCCAAGAAGGAAGCTGCCGGTAAACGTCGCAGCGGCCGCGAAAGCACCCCGCGGAAAGGTGGCAACGAGCAGGCGCAGGCACCTAAACCGAAGGGCCAGCAGCGAGGTAAGCGCTGAGGCCCATACACATGGCGTGGCTGTGCCAGTCTGTGCTAAACCGTCCCTATTAACACCACACATCCCTTGTTTTCCGCGTGCAGGGAAAGGCAAGGTCGACGAATCTGCAAAGCAGGGTAAGGCAACTATTTCCAAAACAGTACCCTGCTAAACCCGTTTTAGATTCAAACCGCTGCTCGTTTGCATGCATGTGTGCCCCTGTTTTGAACGTAATCGACTCAACTCTGTACTCACGCTCCCTATAACTCTCAGCCCCTCGTGTTACAGGCATTGGGCCACCGGTAAGCGTGCAACGGATGCAGCTAACGAAGGGGGACGGAAGAGCGAGTGTTACCCCGCTATCCACAGGAGCCCCGCGGTTCTTCATGCCTTACAGCGGCCCGTCTAAAGTCGCAGCTACAGCACCCGGCACACCAGGAGGAGAGGATGTCGAATCCCCTCCACAAGGCCACGTCACGCACTCCCCACTCCCCTCACCCTCGTACCCATATCAGCAGCTCTAGGCATCTCCTGTCCGGGGCAAGGCGGTCTCCCCCCTGGCCGATCCTTCGCACGGGCATCAGCCAAGCACTTCTGCCAATCCCTTCCCTAAGCTGCCCTTTTCCCGCCAGCGTGATAGAGTGAGGGCACACGGGACTGCTGCAGAAGACATGGATCCCCTTAGCCAGAGGGGGGATTCTTCGCACCCTGGCCCCAATCCCATGGGTGCCCTAGGTGAAAGTGTGGAGCAGGAGCAGTTTGTTACACGGGAGGAGTTCCAGACGCTCCGGGCTGAGATGTACGCCATGTTTGCTCAGCTCGGCCTGAGTCGTGGAGCACCTGCTAGTTATGCCGGGGGGTCCGCAGTGGTGCCTATGGCTGGTACACTCCCGCCGATGAGTGCCGTGGATAAGGCACGAGTGCTAGTGTTGCAGGAGACAAACCCATTCCCGGTATGTGGCGGGCCATATGGGGCGGGTTGGGGTTGACATGGCAAAAGGGCGGGGTTGGGGATGACGTGGCAGTTTGGAGGGTACACGGGAGCGGCGCGTGACAGGGCGAGGCGTGTCAGGTGTGTAGGGGGTGACGTGGCTTGTGGTGGGGGGGTGTGACGTGGCAATTGGGCCGGGTTGTGGATGACGTGGCGGATGCAGGGGGGTGTGACGTGGCGAAAGGTGAGGGTTGGGGATGACGTGGCGGATGCAGGGGGGTGTGACGTGGCGAAAGGTGAGGGTTGGGGATGACGTGGCGGTTTGGAGGGTACACGGGCGCAGGCGCATGACGGGACGAGGCGTGTCAGGTGGGTGGGGGGTGACGTGGCTTGTGGTGGGGGGGTGTGACGTGGCAATTGGGCCGGGTTGTGGATGACGTGGCGATGCAGGGGGCTGTGACGTGGCAAGTTCACACAGGGTTGCTAACCACGATCCTGAGCTCCCCCGGCCACAATCATAACAGCTGATTCTCTCTCCCTTGTCGTGTTGTAGACCCTACACCCCTGCGCAGAACAAAGCCTACTTAGTGACGTCTCAGCTCTGAACTCGCCGGAAAAAATACAGTACTACCCTGCACCGGAGGAAGTGCTCGAAGCGTCCTCTGTCCACTTGTCTGCATAAGGGCACGAGGAAATGAAGCTGCTGTGGTTGCACAATGACAAGTCAACCATGGCAGTCTTCAACCACCAGATGTCGTCGACAAGGTCAACAATCAACACCACCCTCAGGCCAGCAACATACACCGGCATGGACCATACCGATTTCCGCCATCTCGTGGATAGCCTGCCCTGTGAGCTACGCCCAACGAGGTGGTTCGATGACGAGCAACTCCTAGCCGAGTACAGAGATGGTATGTGCAACTCGAAAACACCATATGCCCCACCAAATGCCAGTTGGCAGCTACATATCACCGTGCGATGTGGCACACCCTGACTCTCATCCCCCCACTTGATTTCTCTGCACCCTCTTTCCAACCCACACCCTCCCTACCAAAATGCAGAACAGTGGGCCCTCAACTGGCACTTTGACAAGGCCACCGGGACGCCCTTCAGCAACCCCTTGTTCGCTTATGCGTTCAAGCTCTCCTTCAAGAGGAGCGGGGTCGTGTTCACTAAGTTCAAGAGCCGCATCGTGGCATGGGGCCTGTTTTCGGTGAGGATATATATATATCTGTTTGTACACCCATGCCTCATCCCCTTAACCCCTTGCCTGTACTTCAGCCCATCCCTGGTCGATTAAGCCTTTGCGGTTACGTAAATCGTGACGATTGAATCACCGCTTTTAGTTGGGTCATTTACCTGTAACCCCCCCATCCACCCAACCCTACACCACACTGCAGATCGAGTGGCCCCTTCTGCAGGATAAGCGTCGCATGCGAATTAGTAGCCAGCCAGAAAGCAACAGGCCAGACTACTTGCAGTGGTGCGAAAAGGTCAAACAGATGATCCACTTTGCTGTCGTGGAGCGGAGGATCCAACATGATCCGGCTCAGGGTGCGTTCGTCTTCCCGAACAAGTTCCTCATCGACGATGGCGACCTTGGAGAGGTCGTTCTTGCCCACCGGGCGCTTGCAGGGCCCGGCATTGCGTAGGCTATTTGACCTGGTGCTAAACCTGCTTGTTGCTAGAATGCTGAATAATGGTTGTTGTAAACAGGAAATATGAATGTAATTTTGAAAGGCTCAATATCAAAAACCCACAAAACCAGAATTCAGTTTTGAACAATATGGATCCGAATTTGCACCAAAACGGATTTCGCCCAAATGTCATCCGGAAAAGCTCGAGTGCCAAAACGGAACTTGACTCGAGCCAAACCTTGTCGCGCGATGTGTCTCGGAGCTCCAATCAAATGACTACAACCGTTGGTCCGAATTGGCTCCGGATTTTTTTACGCGAAGTCAATCGAAAGCAAAATTCATCCAAACTTGGCACATGGTTTTTGAGTGGCACTCGCGTCGTCACCCCGTTCACGGCCCCGAATCGAGGACCGCGCCCACCCACTCTTCTCAACCTGATTCGTACAAGGGCCATTTGATGCCCGCCGTGTGGGCGACGCTCAGACTCTTCAAATGATTCCCTGCGGTGATTCCCGGTGGCTGCACCCCGTACGTGCAGCCTCTGGATGTCAGCATGAACGAGTCGTTCAAGGCTGGCATGCCCACACTCTACTCCCGGTGGTTCGGGGAGGAAGGCATCACATTGATGACGGCGGCGGGTGAGTTCAGTGGGCCTCTTGCGTTGCATCCTCCCGCACTAACGCATTTATTGACGGCTACTGACGGTGGCTCTTTGTTAGCAAGCAATCTGAAGAATCCACCGCCGGAACTCGTCCTGGATTGGGTCTCAAAGGCGTGGGCTACAGTGCCTAAAGAGCTCATCGTTAAATCGTTCAAAGTTTGTGGCATTTCGAATGCCACAGACGGGAGCGAGGACGGGCTCATCCTCGCTCGTCTTCGTTCTTGGAACGAGGTGGACATCAGAGAGGAGCTTCTCCCAGAGGAGACTCCAGTGCCTGGTGTGCCTCCCTTTGTGCCGTCTGTAGAGCTGCCTAACGAGCAAGCATGCTCTGTGGGTTTCTCAGGCAACGACTCCAATGAGGAGTCTGAGTCCGAGGAGGGCACGAGCGCAGAAGTCAAGGGTGCAGGGGGGGATGTGGCAGCTGCAGAAATCCCATGGGATGAGAGTCTGTAGGATGTATGAGTAACGGGGGTGATGCCTGTGCTAAGTGTGAAATCGTTTTAGTGAAACTAATGCGCAAACCCTGTGTTTTTAGCTAAATCACGAGTACAAAGCCCGGGGGAGGGGGGGGGGGGGGGGGGGGGGCAGGGCCCAAAATTGGTTTTGGGCCACTCTTGCTAATCAGGGTATTAGGCCCCCAGTACCCTGACCCCTAGGGTAAGTTTTTCCGTACACTGATTGCAGCAGGGTAAAACTTCTCATACACTGATTGTATCAGGGTAATAATGTTGATACCCTAATTTCAGGCGAGGTATCACTCCAAGAACGGAGAGGCCATTTCTGGTGGTTCCAGGCGGATCTGGCTCTCCCGCAGGCATGGTTGAGCGAGGAACGAGAAAAAAATGAGAGAATGGGAAGAACTGCAGGGACCCCTTGGGAAGCACAAAGCACAACAAACTCCCAGATGAGAGGTACCCGCTCACCGCGGGAATTGCATGGCTGTTGCTGCAGAACCACCTCGACTGCCATGTGCTGCAAAGGACCGCACAAAACACACTTGGCGCGCAAACTGGCACCGTTGGCAGTGACCGTGGCTGGATGTGGCTGGATTTACGGTTGCGTTGGCGCAATTGTGGCTCGTTGGACCAATCGGACGAGCAGGCGTGCCTCCGACAACATTTGACGGTGGTGCGCCTGTGGTCATTATAGACAAGTGTGGCAGTGGGCTTGTGGTGACTTCTGTCGTCACGTGGTGTGTGGCTCGATTCGCGATAAAAAGAGATTCGGTATCAGTGTAGTTGGCATCGTACCCTGATACAGCCAGGGTAAAAAAAAATCGTACCAGTGTAGTTGAAACCATA